CACCTTGGGTTTCCAGGACAGTATCTCTGTGGAAGTAGATTGCCCAATCTTCCTTCCGAGAAGTGGCTGATGGGTTTGAACCACCAGCCTTCTGGTTAGCGGTCAAATGCCTTATGCACTATGCCACCAGAGCTCTACCCCCAAATAATCAAGGCATAATTACAAACACTAACAATCTATAATTCATGCTCTAAAGAACAGATCTTCTAATGTTTAGAGTTTATATGAAGAGAAATATGAATTTGAACTTTCTTATGCTTGAAAAGATAAAAAAGAAACAAGGGCAATCATGATGCTTTTAATTTTAAGCAAAGCTGCAGATTCTATAAACTTCACATTAGTTCTCCAACATCATGGGGAGGATCTAATTGAAGAAGAATGGATAAGGAACAGCTTTCTGGAATATATTTTAGAAATCTAGTGTGCATAATGCTTACTCCCTAGAGAACTTTAGAAAGGAAATTTATGAATGTGAAAATTTTTCTCTGTAAGTGAAAGCTGCCACATGTAATGTTGTAAATTATATTACATTTTTCCTATCCTTTACCGTATGCCAAGCTAAGTGGGTCTGTAGGGGACAGTACTTTTTAAATCACCTCAAAGTCAAATATTTTCTTTTTCATCATCATTTATGAAACACATTTAGTGACTAAACCTGAATAAACCATGCATCCTGCTGAAAGGAATGAGGTTCTGATTAAACACCTGGATCACTTTAATCACAAGTTCAGTATAATCATCAGGAACCACAGAGCTTTGGAATATTAAAATAAAATGGTAGTGTATGATCTAAGCAAAGTTTTGGATGAGCCTCAAGCACCATTTGAGTTTTGGGGTTTGAAATCCAACAAATAACAGTATGCACTGGAAAGTCCTTTATTCTGCTTGGGGCTCATTAACGCCATCTATTTGAGCAAGGAATTTAATCTCTCTGAGCACAGTTTCATTAGCCTTAAGATGTGAATAATAATACTCATGTGGCCCAGTTCACATAAGACTAGCAGGAGGAGAAGTAGTAACACTACTTCCTTTTTTTTTTTTTTTTAAGCTTACTCTGTGTCACTCATGGACAGAAAACAACACAGTGAGGTAGGAGCACCATTTTTAAAAAACAAGGAAGCTGAAGCTTAGAAAAAGTAACCTGCACAGGGCTGCAGTCTATTATTGGCAGAACTTAAGTATGAACTCCAACTAATCTGACTCCAAAGCTCAGGATCTTGCTCATGTCCCAAATGCATTCACATGTACAGCCAAATAATGCAATGCTACTGACACATTGTAAATGGCTAAGCTAGTGTAATGTGTTATTAGTAGAAGTTTTTTAAAATTGCTAAAGGGTCTTTTCTGGTTCTATTCTTAGTAAGAGTCTGTTAAGGAACTAAGGAAAAAGCATGAATGAATATGCAACTTGATACTTAAGACAATGGAAAATAACTTTAAAATAGACATGACAGTTGGTGACAACATTTTGAACATTTGAGCTTTCACACACAGTCCCAATACACAGAAGTAAAGTATCTCAAAAGACGCTCATGAAAATTGCTAGAATGGTTACAAAAAAGCTGGGAAATGTGTTATGTATAGGATATGATTCCTCAAACCAATATTGACAGCTTGGCAGGCTGCTCGCAAAAGGTTATTACACATAGAGAACAAGCATGTAAGGATGAGAACAGACTGTGGTCAAGTTCTCCCAGGTGTAACAAAGACCAGCAAGTCAGCAAAGCTCAGAGTCTGTACAGTGCTACAGACTCCTCCTTGGACAATTGTGGTAATATGAAAAGCTACTGGAGACATAGCAACTATCTCTACACTAAACATTTAAAATAAAGGAACGACTTCATTCACCAAGTACAGGTGTTATAGAATGAATTGTGTCCCCCAAAAAGATACACTGAACAACTAATACCTAGTACCAATGACTTTGTTTGAAAATAGGGTCTTAGAAGATGTTATCAGTTAAGTCAATGTGAAGGAATAGTGGTGCAGAATGGGTCCTAATCCAATGAGTGGTGTCCTTATGAAAGAGAAGTGAGATAGAGACACACATAGAAGAAAGACAGCTATGTGACGATGAAGGTAGAGGCTGGGGTGATCTATAAGCCAAGGCCACCATCTGTCTACCAGTTTGTCATACAGTGGTAGCTTGCATGTTGCTGTGAGGCTGGAAGCTATACCACCAGTATTTGAAGTACCAGCAGGGTCACCCAAGGTGGACAGGTTTCAGCAGAGCTGGCAGACTAAGAGTGTGAAGGAGGGCAGGGCCATCTACTTTTGTAAAAACTGGCCACTAAAAACCTTATGAACAGTAGTAAAACACTGTCTGATATATTACTGGAAAACTTTATGAATAGCACTGAAATGCTGTCTGATATAATACTGGAAGATGAGTCCCTCAGGTTGGAAGACACTCAAAACACAACTGGGGAGCTGCTTCCTCAAAGTAGAGTCAATCTTAATGACCTGGATGGAATAAAGCTTCCAGGACCTCCATTTGCAGATAGGGCACTGGTGAAAAACAAAGCAATCTACTTCCATAGTGATACTGCCTCAAAAACCCAAGGAGGGGTCGCTATGAGTTTGGTCCGACTCGACGGCACACAACAACAACAAGAACTGATGGAATAGCCATTGAGATGTCTCAACACATAGATGCAGCACTGGAGATGCTTACTCATTTATATCAAGAAATCTGGAAGACAGCTACCTGGCGAATTGATTGGAAGAGTTTGGAATTTGTGCCCATTCCAAGGAAAGGTGATCCAACAGAATGTGGAGATGACAGAACAATACATCATTAATATCACACACAACTAAAATTTTGCTGAAGATAATTTAAAACTGGTCGCAGCAGTATATTGACAGGAAGCTTCCAGAAATTCAAGCTGGATTCAGAAGAGGACATGTAATGAGGGATATCATTGCTGATGTCAGATGAATTATGGCTGAAAGTAAAGAATACCAGAAAGATATTTACCTGTGTTTTACTGGCTATGCAAAAGCATTCAATTATGTGGATTATAACAAATTATGGATAACACTCCAAAGAACGGGTATTCCAGAACACTTTATTGTACTCATGAGGAACCTGTCATTCAAACAGAACAAGGGGATTCTGCCTGGTTTAAAATGAAGAAGAGTATGTCAGGGTTGTATCCTTTTACCATACTTATTCAACCTGTATGCTGAGCAAATAATCCAAGAAGCAGGACTATATGAAGAAGAACACAGTACCAGAATTGGAGGAAGACCCACCAACAACCTGTGATATGCAGATGGCACAACCCTGCTTGCTGAAAGTGAAGCACTTACTGACGAAGATCAAAAACTACACCCTTCAGTATGGGTTACACTTCAACATAAAGAAAACAACTAGACCAATAAGCAACATTCGGATAAATGGAGAAAGACTGAAGTTGCTAGGGATTTCATTTTACTTGGATCCACAATCAACACCCATAGAAGCAGTAGTCAAGAAATCAGATATCATATTGCACTGGGCAAATGTGCTGGAAAAGACCTCTTTAAAGTGCTGAAGAGCAAAGATGTCACTTTGAAGACTAAGGTGCGCCTGAGCCAAGCCATAGGATGTTCAATCATTTCACATGCATGTGAAAGCTGGACAATGGATAAGGAAGAGGGAAGAAGAGCTGATGCCTTTGAATTGCGGTATTGGCAAAAAATACTGAAAACGCCATGGCCTGCAAGAAGAATGGACAAATCTGTCCCAGAATAAGTGCAGCTGGAATGCTCCTTAAAAGTGAGAATGGCCAGACTGTGTCTAACCTACTTCAGTCATGTAGTTAGAAGGGAATAGTTCCTGAAGAAGGATATCATGCTTGGTAAAGTGGAAGGTCAGTTAAAAAGGGGAAGACCCTTAAAAAGATGGATTGACACAGTGGCTGGAACAATGGGCTCAGGTATAGCAAGGATTGTGAGGCTGGTACAGGACTGGGCAGTGTTTCGTTCTGTTGTACTTAGGGTCACTATGAGTTGAAGCTGACCCAACGGCACCTAACAACAATAGTACAATCCAAGGAATGCCAAGAATCTCTAGCCACCACTAGAAGCTAGGAAAGAAGCATGGAGTAGATTCTTCCTCAGAGCCTCCAGGAGGAATCAACATGGCCAATACCCTGATTTCAGCAAGCCTCCAGGACTGTGATACAGTAATTTCTCTTTCTTATAAACCACCAATTTTAAATAGCCCTTGGAAACCAACATAACAGGTAAATTGAATTAAAGTTAAATTTACATGGGATGTGATTGCAAACACTCTTTTCCCAAAAATAGGACAAGTCCTGACTAAACAGAAAGTGCAAGAAAAAGTTCATCTCACTTCCTTTCCTCCTTTTTCTATGAGATTTTCCTCATTCTTAATGACTCCATGCTGTCCCTTGTTTATCCCATCTCATGCAGCAAAGATTTCCAGCCACCCTCCTTTTCCTTTACTGTGCTGCTGCTCTTTGTTTCTTATAAAAGAGATTAAATAAAACTCCCAGGCCATTGTGTGCAGTTGCACACACTGTACACTGCACAATTCAAGGCAATGCTTTTCACATTGCTTCCCTCCCAAAAATGGTCTCCTTCTCAGCCTGCATATTGGCAGTGTACAATCTGTTCAACCATATGCAGCAGCCTTGTCCATGGTTCCAAAGCCAGAACTGGCATAAAGAGTTTTATTCATTCATTTCTTCATTCATTCATGCAATGCAATAATTATAGATTCTGTGTCTAGTTACCAAACACTGACAAATCCTAGGCAAATGCCAGTAAATGACAGCACAATCCCTGCCTTCAAGGAATGCAGTCTAGACATGTTAATAATTGACATTGCAGAACACAGCATGCTGGGCCTGGGAGGCAGTAGGGTACAGGCAGGCACCACATGCAGATCTGCATCAGGGAAAGGAGGTAAGTAGGCCGCCTTACCACGTTGGAATTGACTTTATGTCGGAAGCACGTGATGTTCACCACATACGGCCAGTCGTCAGGCTCCATCAGCACACCAGCAGCATGGGCACACGTAACATGGAAGGAGGCTGGGCAGCGGCCATAGGAACACTGGATGCAAGCTCCAGAGACCTTCTTAACCCGGTGTCTGCAGAACATGCACTTCTGGAAGGAGAAACATCTAGTCAAACTCTGCCAATGACTGATTCCCAGAAGAGGTACTAAACAAGCAAACAAAAAACCCATTGACTCCATGTGTTACAGGGAAGAACCATACTACAAAGGGTTTTATTGTCTCTAGTCTTTACAAAGGCAGATCGCCACATCTTTCTTTTACAGTGCTGCTGGGTTGGTCGAACTGCCAATCTTTCAGTTAGAAGACCAGTACAAACCATTTGCATCACCTGGAAACCTATAATAGCTATTGCTGTTATTGTTGTGGTTAGGGGCTGGTGAGTTAATTTTGAATCACAGGGATACCATGTGACACAGTAGAACTGCCCTATAGGGTTTTCTAGGCTGCAGTCTTTATAGAAGCAGATGGCCAGGTCTTTCTCCCACAAAGCCACTGAGTGGATTCAAACCACCAACCTTTTGGTTAGCAGCTGAGCACTTAATCATTGTACCACCAGAGCTTCTTAGTTATTCCAAAACCAAAAAACCAAACTCACTGCCGTCAGGTCAATTCTGAATCTTAGCTATGAGAGATGGGAAAAAACAGATTATCAACAAGGCCTGGCCCTCCAGGAGCCCATCAGTGGGAACATTAAGGCAATATAACCACTCAGTTTAAAGGAAACTCACTTCTACATGCACACATTCCCAGACATATGTTTAAATATTTCTGTGGTGAGGAAGGCCGACCCCTTGGCCACATGCTTCTCCAAGCCCAGAGCTCAGGAAAAAGCCCCAAGGGTGCTCCTGCAAACCACCTCTGAATACCACAGCACTTCTGTTTTGCCTTCTGCATGACAGGACTTTCTAGAAACAGAATATGGGTTTGGAGCACACACTCCTACACTCCTAAATTACATGGGATCTTCAAATAGCCAAATAGAATACAGATGGGCTGAGTTTTCCATTTACAAGGAAACGTGGAGTCTTAAACAGCCCAGTTGGAAACAGGGGGCTTTGAGTGTTTAATAACCCGAATCTGAACCCTTCATGACTGACACAAAAATATGGCTCCCAAAGTGAGAAAATTGAAAATCACCCCAAAGGGCATAATTTTGTTGAATATCTATAGCTGACTATGCCTAGAGATGAGGAAATGAAAATAAAAACAGCAATAATGATTACTACAATTCTAAAATTTAATTGCACACAATTAGCCCTAAACATGTTAAGTGCATTTGTTATGAGAGATAGAGAAAATCAAACAGTGTCACTAAAAGTAAGATTTGTGAACTAACAACTGAGGTTTAGTGGGGGAAAATGGTTGTAGGAAAACATTAGGGTCAGGTTTGGAAAAAAGAAGAAACAGAATAATTAAAATTCTTAACTTTTCATTTCCAGGGATTAAAAAATGTTTGCAATCTGATCAAATGTTGGCCAAACTGCTCTCTTTTTATAGGTACAATTTCCTTCACTGCTACAAAAAAAAAAAAAAAAAAAAAAATACACTTAAACCCAATGGCTTTGGGGGGCTGTAATATTTTATCACAGTCCTGCAATGTGCCCTCACTTTCTAACTTGCCTTTGTCCTCACATCTGATCAGTGACTCAATCTTATATATTCTGTACCTTCATCTTACTCTCATCTCTTCCTATCCATCTGTCCTGAATGCCAATGCCTCTGTCCATGGGTTCTTGTCCCGCATAGTAATAGCCTCCTAGCTGGTTGCTCCATTTCTTTCTTCCTATTGTGATGCATCTTCCCCAAAGCAGCCAGACTGATCTTTCACTGCTTTAATATCCTTCAATGGTTTCTCCTTGTCTCTAAGACATTCAGGAGGGGGTAAAAAAAAAAAAAGGTGGGGGGAGAGGGGCATGAAA